TCTCCCGAACTCTTGAATAAAATCACCTTCTCCCTTTCCCCTACTCCTCAAGGTTTGGGAGGCTAACAAGGCTCTTTTCTCACTGGGGAGAAGTGTACTGTCCTTGTCCATAGCTCTCCAATGTTCAGACATTTTTCCAGAGAAAAAGGGCAATTCTTTGTTGAGACTTGGCAGTCTGGGAGCTTGGATAAGCAGGGGACAGGTTCTACTTCCAGGAAGCCTGAAAGCTCCCTCCATGACTCCTGGACCCCAAAGCAATAGTGTGGTCTTCATTCTTTGACCTTTTTGATTTCTGTTACCTGAGGATTTGCTGAGCAGTGGTGGGGAAGGGGACATGGGACCTAGAACTATGATACATGCAAAACTGATATTTTTTAGGATCTTTTTTAAAAAGTATATTAAGTATGCTTATTTGATAGCTGCTTTTGGATTTTTCTATTATCTCCAGTTCTTGGGGGTGTTGATTGTCCTGTTTACTGCTTCTGTGAACTATCCCTTCATGACAGTTTGTATTCACATAAGGTATGTCAGTTTTTTGTAGTGAGCTCATTTTTAGTGGCAGAAATTTTTCTGCAGGAGGCGGATGTGCCCTGGATTGTGGAGTGTCTCTACAGAGAAGGTTTGCCCTTGTTCCTGCTGGGGTTTCTCAGTCGGTTACTATCCTGGACACGTTTTTATGTAAGTTCTTGACTGGGGTTCCTGCCATGTACTCATGGCAAAAATTTAAACTCTGAACTAGGGTCAGGCTTGGGGTCTCCATTTCTCATGGAGACATTTTTTTTTTCCTCACTTGCATCCCTGGACCATTGGAAAATTTTCTGTATTTCCCTCCCATGGACAGTGTTAACCTGCTCTGTTCCTGGCTTTGTCAGGGTAATGCTCAGTTCTAGATTCTTGCCTTTCTTGGGCCCAAGGTCATGTCTCCTGCCTGGTGTGTTACAACCCCAGCCTCCCCCAGTAAGAGCAGACCTCCACCGAGATACCAATAGTCTCTCACATGCCACTCTGGCTTTGAGTTTCTATTTCTGGCACCAGAGACTGAGGTCTGGTTGTGTATTAACAATTCTTGTTACTCTATTTTGTCCAGCTGTATTTTGGTGATTTAGCCTGCCTTGTTTCTGGATGTCAATCTCATTCTTCCATTAAAGCTCTGGGACTAAAAAGAGGGTGGTGAGAATTACTCTTGCACAAAGCTCTCCTGGTGCATGGCAGTGATGCCCCTGAGAAGCCAGCGAAGCCTGCTTGGTGCAGTGGCAATGGGGACTGGTAGGTTGCCTGGCTTCTAGAGCAAGCAAGGAGAACCGCTACACAATCCCTGACTTCCTAGGTCACCATCGCCCTCCACATGGCTCCAGGGTAGGGGACCTGCTCTCACCTTCAGGATGGACTTTTACCAGGCCAAGGGACTCTCTAAATGCTCAGAAACATTTCCAGCTGACTTTGGGAATCTTGAAACTAATACTTATCTTCTCCTCCCAGATCAACATTACTGCCAGTGTCCCCCTCATGCTCTGTTATGGCTGCAAACCTGGACAGGCATATAGGTAGGGGGTATCATGGTGATAGGGGGTCATGGGAAAGAGGCTCTTTTCTATCAGTGATGGGAGACTTGAAAGTATGAAGACATCACGCAGTTGAAATCAGAGCCTTCACTGAAGAGGCCTCAACCCAGAGGCTCTGGGAGTACTTGGGGCAGGGGTGGGGAATGGTTTGATGGCAGTCCCCATGGAGTCATTTGGATGGGTAAGAAATTGGTAGAAGGTAACAGCCACAGCCAGCCAACCCGAGGAAACCTGGGGCCAGAGTGCCCCCACCCACAACTCACTGTCTCACCTAGCTGGTCCCCTTTTCCTTATCACTTAGGAAAGACTCGGCTCGGTTCCAGACCAGCAGCCTAGAGCAGTGGGCTGGAGAGAAGAGATGCCGCTGAGCTAGAGCAGCCCAGCGGCGGAAGGGAAAGTGGGTGATAAATTTAAATAACCAGCTTGACTTGGCAGCTTGCTGAGTTGTGATGCAGTGAAATTAAAATCTCAGCAGAACTTGCAAACACTACCCAGAAAAATTGGTCTCTCTCCTTGGTTCCATGGTGGAAGGTGGGGGTGGCAGTGGTAATGGACTGAGCCCCAGCCTCTGGCAGCCACCCTTGCTTGCAATGTGATTAGCTGTGTCCTGGCCCACTAGGCCCCTCTCTACCCTCCACACAATAGTCCAGGCTCGTCTCTCCTCTCAGTCCTGACCTTGTGGAACAGCTGTATCAAGTGGCTGGTGAAGTTTGAAATCAGCCTCCAGTGCCAGGAGGTGGCAGGAATATCAATAAGGTTGGCTCTTCAGGTTGGGCTAGGGCATTCCTGGGCCAGATTCCTCAGGACTCAGCCCCAAAGGTTTGCAGCCTCAGCCTCCTGTCCCTGGGGAAGGACTGCTGAGTGCTAAGCTGAGGGGGATGAAGAGGGATCCTTGAACACCTCAGGGCACCCAAGCAAGGCTGTGGGCATGGATGACCTCAGTGCTCTCTCACTCTTAGCACACACCTGGCAGAATACCTTAACTTTTCTTCCTCTACCAAAGCCCTTCATATTCTCCAACAAAGTAAGCTTTTTAAGAATCTTTGAGGGGAATTTCTACAAATACACCAAAAGCCTCTCCTGTATCTCATCCCATGCCAGAGCCCACTTCTCACAGATGCCAACATCTTTCTAGAAGAGTTCCCTGAAGTCCACCTCTCCTGGGTCTGCTCCCCTTGCATCACCGCTCACTGCTACCCACAAAGTTCTGGCCCGAAGGCTAGCATGCTGGACCCACTCCTGCGACAGCCCGTGAAGTCTCTGGGCACTGCCCCTTTTCTCACCTTGATAGTGCCTTCAGTGAATTCTGTTTGTCCCCGTAATAAACACATCATGAATCATTCATCTTTAATAGATTATGCAAATTAGGAGGACATAAAATCAACAAAGATCAATAACTGCAGCCGTTTTAATTGCCAGCAAAAACATTTTAAGAATGAGCATAATCTGCAGCCCTTTCTTGGGTAATGGCACCATTAATCCAAATACTGGATCTTGGCCTAAGTGTAGAAAAATCATTCCCTGCCCCCAACCCTTCCCACCTCCCCTCCCCCACCTCTCCACACACTTCTCTCTTTTCGGTAATTTCCAGTTTCTGAGTGAGTTTCCCATCATTACCACTGGTGAACAGCTCCGAATGTTAATGGTTCTGCTTTTGTTACTCCTCGCTTGATTGAAATGTCGCATACAGATTGAGATGTTAGTGCTAACTTGCCACCTGGGAATGTCAAGCTGGGTCTGAAATGAACTTTTCTCACACTTGGATCCAGATGGATCAGTCGGAGATGTTCCCAGGCTGAGCTGGGACCGTTCCAGGGCCATGGGGGGGAGGCGGGTGGGGGATGCTCAAGGTGGAGGCACTTTACTGCACCAGCCCAAGTTCTGCACAAGGAACCCTACCTTGATGATCCATCTCTCCACCCTAGGAAGCCTCTGCCTTATGGACTGTGGCCCCAGGCACAGGGAAGCACAGCTGGGATTAGAGAAAAATCCTGGGTTCTTTTTCACCAGCTGCCTGGGGTGGGCCACCTTTGGGAAGTGACCACTGTAACTCTGAGCAGATCAGGAGAAAGGCGGCCTGACCTGGGCCATCTGTCTTGGGTCAGAAAACCCAGCAGCTCAGAGAGGTCTGAGTTCTAAGGAGGGCCCAGGCTGAGGTCAGTTGATAACAGGCTGTATCCTGACCCAGCTAAGGTTGTCACTCCCAGAAGCCTCATCCAGTTCTCTGACACTTCCAGAACTCAACCTCTGATTGCCTAGCCAAAGAGCTCAACTCTGTCCAGGCCAGAAACAGTCGGACCAGGACACCCCTAAGGAGAACGTGGGCAAGTAAACAACAGGGTTCTCCTAGGCCTCCTAGGAGGGGTACTCACAGCCATCTCAGGCCCGAGCCCTACTTGGACCAGCTCCAAGTCAGAACCAAGGCCTGTCCTACAGTGGGGCCATGGCTGCTCCCTGCCTGCCTCTGGTTGCTTGCAACTCCGCTGCTAGGTTCCCAGGCTGCCTCTGTTTGCCTTGCTCGGCAGGTAACGCCTCAGTGTCTCCCCATCCCCACTGAGACCCTTCTCTATTATTCCGTCTCCTGAGGAACAAACGGCACATTGGCTTTAGTGTCTTCAGAATAATTAGGTGAATTTTAATAACACCTCAATGTGTGTCTTTCCCACTTGGGCTCTTTTCTGGCCTGGAAACCCTTCTGCAGTGCCAGGTGCCCTCCTCAGCCAGCAGCTCTATGGCCTGGACCTCCATCATCTGGGGCCTTCACTGGGCCACACCTCAGCCTTCCTCTGCTCAGGCTTCCTCTGCTGTTCCTAATCCATGGGAGCGCCTGGCTTGGGTGCCCTCTTACCCTGCATTTGACTGCAACAGGCCTGAGCCTGTCTGGCCTTGATATCAAGCTTTGGTCTCAGTGATTTCTCTGGGAAGCAGGAGAAGGGCTGGGATAATTGTGCTTATCTGTAACTACCGATTTGGATGTGATATGCGGAAGTCAAAAGCCACAAGTACCCAGGCTGTCCAGAGGAAGAGGCTGTCCTAGGGACACAGGAGTGTGGAGGCTGTATACAAGGCACACTGCATTCTCACCAGCCTGGCCTAGTTACCCTCGGCATTCTTCTGCATGCATCCTAGCAAGAGCCTTATAATTCTGGGCACCTTGGTGGAGGCAAGAAAAGGCAAGGAGAGAAGCAAGAGGCTGGGCAGAAAGGACCAGCAACAAACAGCTCCTCCTGGCTTCAGTCTTCCCAGGCTGAAGCATGCAGAGACACTGACCACAGTTCTTTCTCTCGCATCTGTTCAGGAAGCACCCTGGTTTTTGGAGGCTCACTCTCTCTTTAGATATCATGGCAGGGGGCCCACGTGTTACATTAGGCCCCAGATGGCATGGGCTGAGGCACCCCCACTGAAAGCAGTATTCCCCCCTTCTGGAAGCCTCCTTACCAGTTACAACAGGGTATGTCTGTGTGCCTGACACGTTGCTGCCCAGCTCGGGGTTGGTGGATGCAGATAGACTCGACTTGACTTCATCAAGCCCAGGGGTCAGGGCTGGGAGGGAGTATTCGTTCCCCTGGGAGGAGAGAGAAAAGCGACAGCTTTCTATTGATGCACACACACGGAGAAAGGGCTTAGTGTGCAGATGGGGAGGAGGAACGGGGAGCCTTCCCAGATGGGATGGAAGGAGATGGCCCAGCAGAGGGAGGGGAGAGAGGGCGAGGGAGGGGCAGGCAGTGGATGGGATGATGGAGACTTTTGCATGGGGGTGGGGGTGGTAGACCTGACAGGCTTGTGCAGCCTGTACATTATGGTGTGTATCCCAGCACCTTTTACATTTCTGCAGCATTTCATCTCCTGCCTAAGAAGCTCCAAGGGTGGAGTGTAGCAGTGGGGATCCCCTGCTAAGAGACAAGGGTTGTTTTAAGGTCCCTCTGGAGTAGGGAGCCTGGGGGAGGAGGGGTGAACCATGACATGATGGCGAGGAAGTAGCTAGGGGAAGGGCCTAGAGGGGCCTTCAGCCTGGCACTGCTGGGTGGGCTGATTGGGTGCTGGTGCCCCTTTTTTAAAAACAAACAAAGACAGCCCCACGGGCCCCTTGTTCTCTGCCTGTGCACTGGGGTATGAAATTGGGGAGGGGGAGAGTCCACATGGCTAACAGAAGGGTGGGAGGGGGCCAGTCATTGACTCTGAAAGGGTGTCCTGCCCGAAACACTAGGGTAATTGCCTTTTTATTGCAGCCTCCACTAAGCCAGACCCTGATGCTGGGCAGACCAGGAGTCTGCACAAAGCAGGAAAAGTTGCTCTGATTAATATTACATTAAATTAAAACTGATTTTCTGCTCTTTCGGGTCCGTTTTTTTCCCTTCCGCTTCCTGGCCCCCCCAGAGGACCCCTCCCCTCCCTGGCTGGACGGGATTGCCTCGTCATTTCCAATTCCTTCTCGTATTGATCTTCCTGTAGAAATCAGTTTTGTAATTAGCTGCAAATTAGGCCTTCTACTGGGGGTGAAGCTGCCCCCTGATTTATCACCAGAGTAATTCGCTGTGATCGGAGAGAAATTAAAATGAACTCAATTAGGCTTCGGATTTGCTTTATGGGCCCTGCTCCGAGTTTCAGGGGGAAAAATGACTGTGCTGGTGTTTAATAGTCTAATGAAAGTAAATAAAGGTTATTCATTGTAATACAGCCGGGGACTCGCGGAGGGTGCACTGAGGCGCCCGCCTTGGCCAGCTCCTCCTTTGTTGGTTTATGGCTCAGGGCACCTTAAAAAGACTTTTGATTTTTGTTTTATGAAGACAAACAGCTTATGGGATAAAAGGACGGGCGGGAGAAAGGCGAGTGGCTGGAAGCTGTTGGAGTCCTAGTGTGGCCTATGCAGTGTGGAGCCTGGGGGCTATGCTGGTGTGTCTGCGAGTGAGTGTGCAAGCCCATAGACTGTGTTGTGCTGCAGCTGTGGGCCTGGGGTGGGATGAGTGTGTGCTCTGGTGCTGGAGCATGTGCCCTGGGGGGAGCTGGGTGCTGGGGGTGTGCTTGATGACAGTCTCAGGCAAGGCACACCCACTGGCTGCTGGGATCTGCTGTGAGCTCTGTGGGTTGGTGGTGGGAGGGGAGGGAGTGGGTAGGTGGTGGTGGAGTTTAAACAGGGCACATGGGTAAATGGGAGGAGTTAGGTGATGTGTCTCTATGTTGTGTATTGTGCTGGTGTGTTGGGGACCCCATCCTATGCTGTGTGTTCTGGGCTGTTCTGCATCTATAGGAAGTCTTGGGGTCTGAGGGGTGGGCTGGCAGCTTGCCTGGGGTCACACTGGACAGCTGAGGTTTAGACCAAGAAGCAGACATAGCAGGGGCTCCTGACATGGGGCAAGAAGAGTGCCACAGGCTTGCACACACTTTCTGTAGGCCCCTGGGGTATCTAGGCAAGGGACACATCAGACTGCCCAAACTCCTCCAAGGCAGGAGGGCAGTCCTGAGTACTCTGTGCCAGTAGCACAGAACGGCAGGGCTAGAAGGGACCTGTGAGACCAAAGCTAAGTCCTTCCTTCTACAGATGGGGAAACTGAGACTCTGAGAGACTTATCCTAACCATACTAGCACGCAGAACTCATCAAATCTAACCCCCATACACCACAATGATTTTTCTTAACTCTCCCATAACACCCTTGTGTAAGTGTGTTCACATGGCACACACATGCTGCCCCCACATGTAGCTCACAGGATGCCAGGTGTGCATATGGCCGAACTGTGTAAACATTCTCCGGAGGCCTTGATCTGTCCAGGTTCTGTCCACTTCTGCAAACAGGAAGCTGTTTCCTCACCTGTTCTGATTTGATGTGCTCTGATGCCTGGAAGACGTCAGGGTAGGAAGGACGCTCAAAGACCCGATCCAAAGCTTCCAGCTGCTGCTGGGTGAAGGTGTCAGCTCTCAAGTGCTTCCGCAAACTGTCCACACCACTCTGGGAGTCTCCATTGGGGACTGAGCCCTCAGACACATCTGGAGAACACAAAGACACTCAGGGTATCAGCATAGGTTGCAGAGGCACAGTGCAGTGCAGCAGGCCTAGCGGACAGGCACTTGGCTCATCCCCCAGGGCTTTGCACCCTGCTGGGACCCCTTACTCCCAGTTTCCAGCCTGGAGAGGCTGGACCAGGGGCTGGCCAAGCCTCAGAGATCTGGCTGAGGAAACCAGAGCCTTGGAAGGACCTGGGAAAAGAAAGGAAAGTTGTCACAGCATGGGGGGCAGAGGTGGAGTCAGATGCTCCAGGGGCCATCTCCCCAGGGGATGTCTCCCTGAATCCTTTCTGTCCCCCACCCTGGGCCAGCCTTGGGGAGGAGAGCTGGGTGTCTCAGACAGCATTACTGAGCTTGTGGAGAATTGAACTTGGCTCTGAGATGAATATTAGTTCCACTGACTCCAAGGGTGGAAAATCATCAAATCTCTGAGGCTGAGTGTAACATGGAGACTGGGTGAAGTAATTAACTTCACCACCAAGGGAGGAGGGACTCTGAGAGCCAGGCTGAGGCATTCTACTTGCATGGGGCCAGGACTGAGATCAGACAGAAGGACAGCAGGTGGCCCATGAGCATTAAAAATGCCAACTTGGGCAGAGACTACAGACAGGATCTCTGTGGATGTCGCTGTGCCCAGGCCACCCTTCTCAGCCTCCGTCCCTAACCTGGACTCTGGCGAGGCCTTCATCAGAGGTCAGCTCCTTGGTCCCCTGGTTCCTCCTGTGGATCTCTACAGGGAACTGAGAGTCACTCCACAAAGGTAAGGCCATGGTGGTACCACACTAATCCTGGCTCCCTGGGACTGTAGGCCAATCCTGTCCATGTCCTGCCCTACCCATGCTTTCTCACCTGCCTCTCTGTGCCTGCCTTTCTGCATTGGGTCTGTTGGAGTTTTCAGAGGGTACAATGGGCTAGATACCCATCCTGCCACATCTCCCCTGGCCCAATGCTGGGTCCTCCTTGGCCACAGCTTGGCCACTCCTTGGCTTCCCTCAGCCCAAACCAGCTAGGAAGCCTTGGGCCTGGGTCCAGACCATGTTCTCGGCTCCAGGGTGTTCCTCTGGGACTGTTATATATATCAGTTTATAGGTGATTATATGATATGATATAATCAATATTGCATTATATACAGTAACACTGTACAGTATCATTCAGGAGACCATAGAAAATATTACATATTGATTAACCTCAACCAGAAACCATCCTCTCTTGCTGGGCTCCTACATGGAGCACGGGAGTCTGCTTTTCAAATGTGGCCTCCTGTATTCCCTTCACTCTATTCTGGAGCAGGTGGGAAAGCAAAGAGAGTGTGTGTGTGTGTGCGTGTATGTGTATAAGAAGGAGTGAGAAGGAAGACCAGGATCGAGTCTGAGGTGGACAGACAGACACAGGTACTCCTATGCCCCTGTGTTCTACAGACACAAAACTTGGTGGTTGTGTTTTCTTCTGCATAAGCTTCTGGAATGATTTTCTTTCTTAGAGGGTGTATGTGTCTCTCTATATGACTTAGGGTGTGGCATATTTATTTTTCCCTTTTGTGTGAATATTCTCTGTGAATATGGATTTGTATATGTATAAACATCCAGATAAATAAATGTCTGTGTATGTGTAAGTGACAGAGTAAGAACCTTTCTAAAAGGACGTGTGTGTGTGTACATGTGCAACCGCACAGGAAGCCCTTGCCCAAGTTCCCTGTGTTTCTTTTTACCTACTTGTCTTTCAAGGATGTACCATCATCCTAATTCCACCCCTTATAGCCATTTGCATGTTCCATTGTGTCCAATTTTCTCTTCCTGGAGGGCCTCCTGTCAGGGCTGAGGGAGGCAGGGAGTATCTTTACGTGTGGTTATCGCACACATAATTGGGTCCTGGGGAGTAAAGTGTGCATTTGTGTGTGAGCATGTGCTCACACACTATGTGCATGGGAGTGTGTATATGTATAGGGAGGCTCAAACCATGCATCTGTGTAGATTTGTGTATATGCCTGTATGTGTGATTTGGCTCAGCCCTGTGTGTGTGTGTGTGTGTGTGTGTAGGGGCTGAACTGAAGCTTTGTCCTCAGGTCACTGGCTGGAGGAGTCTCTTTTCCTTCATTTATTCAGGGGCCCTTCAGATCTTGACAAATCTGTCACTCTAAATTTGCGAGAGATTATGGTGCTCTCTCCCCAGCCCGCAGAGAGGTGATATATGATATCTGCTGCCCCTATTGATTGCCTGATCTGGTGGCAGAGGCCGGCGAAATGAACTTGAAATGAACATCATGCCTCAACTCATTGTGCGTATAATACACTACTTAATCCCACATTTTTCAGCTGCTATGGAATTCAATTGATCAATCATGTTCCACTGATAGTACTGTTTTAGGGGTTATTGCTGCTCCCTCCACTCACTGACCTTTTTATTTATTTATTTTTTTGGTATACTCAGGCCCTGTGATAAGACAGGCTACAGAGGCAGCAATGGGGGAGCAAGGGGGAGGGAGGAAGGAAAGGCAAAAGGAAGGCTGCTGCTGCAGAGGTGGTGGGGGGAGGCAGGGAGGAAGGGGGGAGAGGGAGAGAAGGTGCTGGAGGAGCAGGAAAGCAAAGGGTGTGATGCACACATGCAGAGAACTCCCAGGAGGGGCTAGGGGAGGCTGGGGGAAACTCTCCAAAGGAGAAGGAAGGCATTGAAGAGGCAGGAAAGGTGACAGAGCACAAAGAAAGTTCTGGGGCAGCAGTGAGGGGAGTTCAGGGGCTGGCAGAGGGCAGTGGCATTACTGCTGAGGGCTGACAGCTCTAACACATCCCTCTCCGGCGGGGCAGCTGCGCTGTCCTGCAGCTGGAGAGGTAAGGGAGGGATGAGGGCAAGGAGAACGGCAGGAGGGGAGTGAGGAAAGGAGGTTGGGAGCAGCCTGGGGTCAGAGGCCCAGGGAGGAGAAGCTCAGGGAAGGAGGAAACCCAGAGGCAAAGGAAGGGCAGAGAGAGGGAGAGGCAAGAGGGGAAGCTTGCCAGGCTGGAAGCCTGGGGAAGAGCTGGCAGGCAGGGGTGAGCGCACTCACACGGGAATAAAACCAGCAGCCACTGTCAGGGAAGCCTGGGTATCCAGCTGAAGGCCTGGATGGGGTGGGCTTGGGAGGCAGGGGGAGGAGAAGGAAAAGGACAAGAGGAGGAGAAGAAGAAGAGAGAACACAGAAGAAGAGAACAGAAAAGGAAGAGAAAATGAAGTGGTTGTCAGTGCTGATCACGCCTCAGGACGGTGGGGAGAGAGCGATCTCAGGGTGGGACTTCCCAAGGCAGAGCCTCAGAGGGCACAGCAAGGGACAGGGATGGAAATGGGCTGTAAGACCACCGCTAGGCCTGGATGTTGACAGGCTCTCTGGCAGAGTTGGGGCCAAATAGAGGAGAGGGCAGAAGCAAGGCTTGATCTAGGTTTCAGAGTGAGCAGGGAAGGAAAATGTGTGAGCAGCTGGAGAGGATCCATCCCAGAGGAATTCCCCACCCTACAGCAAGAGCCCCCTTAGGCCAAGAGGCCAGGATGTACGCTACTGCAGGCGGGGCCGTGACAGATGAGTCTCTGCAGCTCCAGTGCCAGCCATGAAAGCAGGCACAGGGTAAGTGCTTGATGATGATCACATGAATGAATGAGGCTCTCTGGGTAGCACTGAAAGCCAGGTCCCTGGCAGAAGGTCTCTGGGCTGGCCACCTGACTGTGTTGGCACCCCAGGACCCCCAGTCATCTGTCAGGCAAGTCCATGCATCCCTAGCTATCAGAAGATGTTGGATGTTGGAAGACCCACAGAAGGGCCCTGGGCAGACTTATGCCCCTTCTTCACTTGTTCCCACTGACAACATCACTGTCAAGCAACACCATCCTGCCCACCTATGGAGCCTCTACCCAAGAGACAGAGAACACCGTGTTCCCAGTTAAGAGCAGAAATTAGTCTTAGAGCTGCATAACTGCCATCCAAAGGAGGTGACGGAGGTTGCTTGGGAATGGGACTGAACTCCCTGCACCCAGGCCCTGGTCACAGAGAGCAGGGTTGGGATAAAATGGGTCTGTCTTCCTGTGGTGGGAGCTGGTTCCAGGGAAGGCAATGGAAGGAGGCCCTTGGCTTTCACCTTGATAAGATTACCAGTCAACCCTCTTTCAGGGCTCCAAGAAGGAGGCGGCCACATGTCCTGGGCTTTCTAGAGCAATTCTGATTTTCAGTATTCCTTCCCACTCTCAGGCCATGTTTTTGGATTAAGGTTGGAAAATATGGTTACTACAGGTTTAGTAAGACTCCCCAGATCAAGGAAGAGACCATGTGCTAGTCAGTTTCCATATGTGGAGGATTCAGCCCTGTTCTGCTATCCCCTGCCCAGCCACTATCCACTAGCAGCTCACAGAACTGAGAGCTTATTACATGCCGTTTAATTTCCCCAACAACCCTATGAGCTAAGTACGATGATACCTATTTTAAAGATAAGGAAACTAAAGCAAAGGGCGGTTAAGGAGTGTATCCAAGGCCATGCAGCTAGCTGGTAAATGATAGCCAAGATTTGAATTCAGGTCTGTTTGACTCCAGAGCCTGCCCTCTACATCATTTCACTCTGCTGTCCAGAAACCAAACCCAGCAGGCCCAGCTGAGGGCCATTTGGCCCCACTGGTGACATGGGCGCCCTCTCAGCATCCCCACTTCTGTGCCTTGCACCCTCCCTACACTGAGGCTACAGCCTGTGGCCCCAGTGCTGGCTGAGCACAGACTGTGCCCAGAATGATTAGGAGACACCTGGTCCAAAGTCCTCATTTAATAGAAAGTAAGATTGGTGGAGGTGAGCAGCGGTGTGGCAGAGGGGGTGGCCAGCTAGGTCACATACTAGGTAGTCGGGCTCTCAGGACAGGAGCCCATTCCAGGTGCCTTGTCCACTGCGGCGTGAGCACTCTCAAGGAGAGTGAGTTCCCACAAGTCCTTTTTGGGACGAGGCAGGATATAAATAAATTAATTTAATTAAACAAACTGC